GACGAGTTGTAATATGGTGCTACGAATGGCGAGACTCACTGACGATGCCGGCGAAACTTCTGGGAATGTAGCATGTCCACGGTCCTACTCTGGAAATGATGATGCATAAAATGTCACTGGTTTAAAAAGGATTTGGATTCCTTTATCTTATCAGGGGGCCGATTCCAATTATGCTAAGCTTGAGTTTAGTTCATAAACAAAAATACGTCTCAGAGAGGATAGTTACAGCCTCATCGTTAATAATTAAATATTTTATGAATATATATAGAAATCATATGAATACTATAGCCCATGAGACAGTCTGAGCCGAAAACTTTACGCTTTAACAACTCTATCTTATTTTGATTAAAGTCAAAGCGATCATATTGATCCTTCATGTTTATTTATATAAATGCTTTTATGACTTCCAATCTAATTCGACAAAGATTTGCTTTTAGCAAGATCTTTTCTAGCTAGATATTTGGGCTTCTTCGGGTTATTAAATTGTGTGATTAAGGTTTCGTTAGTAAGATGGACTAGTATAAAGTTAATTGTTTATATAAAAGGAGAATCACAATCTGTTGTGTTAGAGCCTCGTCAAATTATTAGTATTATATTGGCAAACTTTGTATAACTCTATTTCCAACCGTTCCCACATACCCACTCATGCATAGATTGTTATTAAGAACAAGAGCTATAGTTACCAGAGGTCGCATACGATAATGAGGGGCTGATAGTCGCATATTCTCACAATGATACGAGTAGGCCGTACAGTGCCTTGCAAAGCTAGGTAAAATTTAATGGCATTATGAGGCCCATTTCTATTATTATGACAACGTTCAACTATCAGCCCTTCAGCATGTTATGCGATCTAGAGCGACAATTACTCGTATTCAAGATCTACTAATAGTAATTAAAAGGGATCATTATGTTTATTAAGAATTTAATATACCTCATATTTTTTGCTTATAATATTATGGATCGCATCGATCTCTATTAGCCTTGTTCTTACTTAGAATTCTCTCATCAAATTTTTAGTCCGTCTTATGGAATATTATCTGAGTGGATTGGCAACTAAGACTTTTACGTTCGATCAGTATTATAGGCTGATTTATGCCTTGTATTAAGTGAAAGATAGGTAGTCAAAGTAGGAAATAAGACTTAAAGCGCAACGTCGTGTTTACTATAAGTTGACAAGTTTCCACTTTATCCGATAACAAGGATAGTGAGGTTATTGCTGAGCTTACTTCCATTTCAAGTGAAACCGTTTGATGAGTCGATTCGAAGATTGATGTTACCAGAATACGACAGCGGATTCCTTTTGATCAGCTGTCGATTGGCTTCACTGAAATATTTTTGTTGATTCTATTTAAGAGGCATTCTTCTTCGATTACGATAAAAACGTGCTAAGCTTTTGTCCGTCATATGATGGAAATCAACAGGGCAGGCTATCATTCTTACAATGGTATTCAAGTTAACAGTGAGTTAAGAGAACTCACCGGCTCATGCCTAATTATATATATATATATATACTCAATATCTAAGCTCACTGATAAGGTATGGAGTGATTTGGTTAGTTCAAGTCATATGTCAAGCTCGAAACATGTGATTGTGTCTGATTTTGTGTGTTCGTATATGTTAGAAACAAGCAGTGATGGGTCAAAGTAATTAGAAAAGAACAGGCAACGTCTGTTCTTGGCTATCAAGGTTTGTTGACCACCATCACCTCATCTCCATATATGTTAACCATCACTCCAATTGCGCAATGTCGGACACACGTCTGCTTATGTTGATGAGCATTTTGTCTTTATGAGAGAGAAAGAGTAGACTAAAAAGTATATAAAAGTGACCGTGATTAGAACCAAGACACAAAAAGAAAATGAGTAGGGTTTCGAAATAGGGTGAATACATCTCATTAAACAAAAAGAAAAGACTAGTTAGATCGCCTCCTTTTGCAGGCGGCTCAACACCCTCTTAAGTAGTAGTAGCATAAGTAGGTATACTTGACTTGTTACAGGTATTCCTTACATTCAATATATTGCCTATTCGGGTTATTTAGATGGCCTCTAATTTTACGTTTAGCCAAGGACATAGCATAATCAGCAAAACAATAAATTTGACACCATCCAATCTAATGTCCAGTTTTTGCCGTGAGCTCAGCCAGCTGTGATTTTTGAATCCAGCAAGCCCTACAGGCGCTTTTGTGTTGAGACACTTTTTGTGGAATGTGAAGACCGCATGAACACATTATTTTATAGCGAGCCGATCAAGACAATTAGTCAAATTCCTCTCTAAAAATGGACACAACTGAAGGAAATGTCGTAGTTTTCCCTAAAAACCGTTTTTATTCCTTACATCCTGGTTAGTTCGCCTATATTTTTAGAGAGAATGCACAAAAGCAAATAAAAAACACAGGAAAAGGACTCCTTATCTTCCTTACGTATTTACCATTCAAAAAGATATTCTTTATATACCTAATGTTATTTTAAATCAGAACTAGGAGATAATCATTCTCAAGTATTATTAGTTTGAGCCGATCTAGTTCATTATCACAACGGCATCTACGGGATAGTCTTATGCTATTTATGATCATAAATATCAATATTCCAACCTTCGTCTTGTAAATATGGTTGGAGAATAAATCAAAGATAAAGCCAGCATGTGTTGGCGTCCTATATACATCCCTGTTTAACTTCTCAGCTTCTCTCATCACTAAAACATCCAAAAAAAGTAAATTATTGTACTCCTCTATTTCCATGGTCAACTTAGCATTACAATCAATCCAGTAAATTAAGAAAACGAAATTACCTTGTGATGGGATCGACCTCCAAATCTCTTCACCAAACACATTCACTCGAAATGGAAGTTCAACAATTATGAAACAAGAAATTCCTCGAAACCCAACTTCTATTTGAATATTTAGGTTATACTCATATATATTAATTTTAGATTCCAACTTTCAAGCTTTCTACTCATTGAATAGGAAAGATATATCAACCTTGGAGCTCCCGTTCGGTCGAATCCACATACCAATTGTAGCAAGTTTTCATACTAAATGAAACATACAAAGAAACTGATTACCGAGTGTCAAGTTCGAATTCTCTATCAGTTTTCCGGCTATTCGATATCCTGTCACCATGGCGTGCCAAAATACTGGAGAACCAGAATGAATTGAACGGCACAAAGGGACTAACGAGCCTGCGGTCTCGATGATGTCCGAATCTGTAGTCTTCTGAGTCTCGTAAATAATTCGTTTTGGCTCGGACTGTCTCCTCGACATTTCAAAGAGGCACTCAATGCGATAAAGCATTAGAGAGGCCTCGGTGTCGGTCGGTATCCAAGGCGAACAGGAAGAATCAGCCTCGTCAACCCCCTCACTGATATCCGAAGCTAGTCGAGACTGGAGCCAGCGATCAATCCTTTCCAAGTGATCAACAGCCTTTAAGGAGCAAAGAATCACAAGTATGAGAGTTAAATTAAAAGATGCTTAGGAAAGCATTAAATATTAATAAAAGACTTTCATTTTGTATGAAAGTACATGATGAAGGCCAATCTCACGAAAAGACGTTGGATGATTCGCATTGTACTGCTGCCGTTTGGCATTAATACAACGTTCAGGCTAGTGCAGTCTACGAGCTTTCCTTCGTCACATGACGAACAAGGTCAGAAGTGGGACTCATTCTTGCAAAAGCCTCAAGTTCACACTAAGTCAAGAAGACTGCCCGGTTTTTCTCTACATGATATATACACTCATTGCGAGTAAAATTGAAGATATGGGTGGATATAGAAAGATTTGTCTAATTCATGTATACTCGAGTGTGTCTATATGTTTATGTATGTTAAAGTCTGTAAGCAAAACTAAGTAATCAGAAAAAAAGGTTAAAACTTACTCACGAAAAAAGCTTAACGTCAGCCCAGGGTTATCGAAGCTTAATAACCAAAGTAAAAAAGGATAACCGATAATGCGTTAGTTCGCAAGTAATACTGGCGTACCTTTAATTTCTTTTGAGAAGAAAAATCGAAGGGATTCGTAGGTTGGCCTCACCGGATACTGCAGGAGAGTTGCCTTGGACGTTTTCCTATTGTACTGTGCGAAGAAAACCTTGGCTCACCGTCATACGATCCCGATGACTCGATGCTGAGCTTCGTCTGACATGTGACGGACATCGTCAGAGACAGAAACGAAATGAAAGGTGCACCAGTACCAATCTATTAAGGGTTTCTTTGAAACCCAGCTTCTCTTCATACCTTTTCTCTTGTTTTTCTATATTTTTGCTTTATTTTGAAATGTATGGACTCTTGCTCTAATGATGTATGTCAAAGTACAGATTAAAGCTTAGCAAGTGTTGTCTACAACAGTGCATTAATAGTCGAAAATTTGATAAATGGAAAATGAATGAATTTCGCCGTGACGCTTTACCTTCCAATACATATGGTCTGCCAAAATCCACAAAGAGGAAGTCCCACTTGGGCTCCTTGTAAATAATAATGGTGTGATGCTTATGACTGTATAAAGTTAATAGACGAACAAGTAATAGAACAGGAAGATTTGTTAGTAAGTTTTGATGTAATATCGATGTACACGAATGTATAGATAAGTAGAGCCATCCGACATTAGGATTGACCTTCGATTTACACCTAGAGATAATATCAGGAAATAAGCTAGACAAAGAGTCAATCATGCGATTGACGAAATTAATAATTAATAGTACATATTTTATCGTTAATAGTAAATTATACAAGAAAACAGGAGGGTTGGCTATGTCTCCAGTTTATCTCCAGTTTTCGCTAATAACTACATGGCTTAATTGGAAGTCTGGCTTTTTCAAGTCACTCCCAGTTCCGAAACTAATGGTCAGATATATGGATAATTACTTTGCTATCTAGCAGAATGGCAGCATCGTTTAATGAATAGAATAGATAAGACGACTAAATTAACTATGGAGCTGTGAAAAGACAATAAGTTATCCTTTTTAGATATCCTAGTTAGTAAAGAAGGGAGCAAACTGAGTAGAGATGTATATAGGAAACCCACAAATGCTGGCTTCCTTCTCAATTTTTTCTAGAACCATTTTAGGCGTAATGAAACCAGTGATAATAAGGGGTTTACGTCTAGCAGACGAAAATAATCAAGAACAGGAGTTAGAAAGGCAAAGAAAAATCTTAGTTGGGAACAGTTATTCTGTAGGATTATTTGTTATAAATTTCAAATTTTTGAGAAATAGGGTGAAGGAAAATCATTAATTTTGACAAAACAAGGAATTAGACAACTCTTCGTACAGGTTCCTAATGCTAACATCTTGCAAGCTTTCAAGAAAGATAGGCGAATTAATGAGGAAATGGAGTATCAAGACATGGTATAAAGGAACAAAAACGCTTTCCTCGATCATGTCTTCTTTTAGAGAATCTTCCGAAGCCCTCTGCAGATCAAGTTGTTATAAGGTTTTGCGCTTATGTGGGGGAGACTTGTCGATCCAAACATAAAATTAATGGATTCAGAAATCGCAAGTGGCTGAACATGTGGTCGCTACAAGACACAAGATAGAGTGGTCTAAATCTTAACGTTTAGCCGGATATGGGGACTTCATAGCTAGACGTAAGATAAGAGATTTAATTGAAAGTAAAGAATCAAAGAACATCCTGAATAAGAGGAACGAATGTAGAAAACTAAGTAAGAAGTATAGAATGAGAGAAAGAGAGAAGAAAATGAAAAAAGGCCACTGAGTAAGAGAAGAAGAATAAACTAAGTCCGAGTCTGTTCTTAAACCTAAAATTGTCAGCCAACTCATACACAGGCAAACACGCATTCACGAAGCTGTAACAATATCCAGGATTACTGGATCATACTCTGGTTTATTTACATAGACAAAAGTTATAACCACATCCGCTCCCCTGACTGCATCACTTTACCCCACTTAGATGCATGTAGGACAAACATACGCCAGCAAACCAAATCATGAAATGCCACACTAAGATCGCAAATTGAGGTATAAAAAGTAAGTAGGATCTCAGCTGGCTACCTTACTCGGTTTAGTGTTTTTGGTGATTTTTTTCGTGAATGATGGTTTCTGGCCCTTACGATGTCCGTCACATGACGAATGAAAGCTCAGCACGGAGTCATCGGAGTTGTAGGATCGTAAGCCAAGATTTTCTTCGGGCAGTTCAACAGACAAAAGTCCAAGGCAACCTTCCTGCGGTATCTGGCGAGGCCAATCTACGAGATACGAAGAGAAAGTTTGTTTCGATGAATCTCCTGAGATAAAATTGTTAGGGGGACCTTCATATCGAATAAAAGTGCATGAAGAAAAGATTCGTTGGTCGATCTCACCAGATGAGGACGGATGAAACTCGTTGTACT